GATCATTAACCTGAAGTCTCCACACAGATCAAGTCATGGAATCTGGTGGGATACAAAAACTCATTGGTCAGTTCAGCCAACCAACCTTATGAACGAGATTCACAGTACAAGCTCTATTTGCAGCCCATGTGTCTAGTTCAGTGTTCTTCAAACACAAAGTGTGAAACATCCGCGATATGGACACCAATCTAAAAGAGCACAGTCAAAGCAAGCAAAAACTAGAATAAGTGGGTTTCCTTCAAATAAAGTGGCTAAAATAAAGGCAATTGTAACTTTGTACGATAAATTTCAGGAGAATTCGGACCCTTGAGGAGTTCTCAGTAAGTATAAGAGCACTCCTGCATAGAGCACCATCATACCTCGAAGCCAGGCGTTTCATTGCCATCACAATCACTGATTTCTTCGATAGACAATGCATCATCCAATTCATGTGAATTCCTTGCGCTTATGGTGAAGACGACATTATCACGAAGATCACGACGATACTTGAATTCTTTCTAAAAACAGCATTTGATCAATAAAACTAAAGGTGGAAGAGGTCGAGAGCAGCCACTTAAGTAAAATGTGAACTTCGATGGCCCCCTTGAGACAGCGGACTTGGCTACACTCGTCCTAGTCGCTCCTAAACTCCAAGTTGGACAAGTTCATAACCAGCGCCGAGATGGAATAGCCGATAATTCCCTGGTCAGGATCAGACTCCAATTTACTTCTGCGGAATACCTGCGTTTCCAACGGCGCTTGATATGAACCGGGTGGTACCACTATGACAACTCTCTTGTGACTGAGAAACCTGTAGAGTGACTACTCTAGCGCGGCTTTTTGAACAAAACTCATCAGTTCGGCTAATAAAACGCATGTCAGAAATAAAACCATGAGCAGAACATGAAGGTACAATATGCAGGTACTGATTACCTCATCTATAGTCCACTGTTTCGTTTCGAAGATCGGAAGACAGTGCATCACGGATAACGAGAATTCACGTGTATCTACATTGTTCGCGAAACAAGAGGCCTTCAGTTTCAGCCTGAAAATATAAATCTAAACAGGAATAACCAAGGTTTTGCCCACTGAATAGAAAACAATCCATCCATGGATTCAGGGGGGGGGTCATAACGAATATATTAGGTTGATCTGATCGATACCAATAACCTTCTCCGTAATGGGTATATATGGGCGCGCTTCTTCCCTTTAGCTTGAATCACTCAATTCCAGTAAATTCACTTAGGACCAGTTTTTTTTTTCGATAATCATCTCGTACGAGTGGCGCCGCGGCATCCGGAGCGACGCCGTTCGTAGAAGATGAATGCAACCGTTTCGCACATTCAACGGCGTAGGGAGGGAGGGGGGAGGAAAACCAATTTCATCGCTCCGAAGTCCATCGCTGGTTCGCTCGCCTTCAAAGAAAGAGAACATGGACTTCGAGGAAAAGCTTCGACGTGACGCCCCCGCGCCGTCGACGACTCCGTCATTCTCGACGCCGTCAAAGAGTATCCGGAAGTTAATACTCGCAGTCTTGCGACGAGACTTGGGTGCGCCAAAATCAACAGTCGCCCGTCGTCGTCAGGCCCTCTGCCCTACAGGAAAAGTGCTGACTCGATGCGGATTAACATCATGTCTTGACCGATAGCATGCGGTACACCCGGGTATCCACTTGTCAGTCTTTCCTTCTCCCCACATCGCAAGGACCTAGTTACTGGAGATGAAAGCTGGATCCTCTAGGACGCTAACCAACCACCGCGCCGTCTGGCTCCCGCGAGGAAGAACAGCCGCCGACGCAAGCGAAATCCGACCTCCAGCCTAAGAAGTTCCTCCTTGCTGCTTCTGGGATTCAAAAAGAATTCTGTACAGGCCCACCGTCACCGCTCCCGCTGGTCAGCTGCAGAAACTTGAGGAAGCCCCGTTTAGAAAACGACCTAGCAAACTTTTGTGCACTCCCCATGGACAAGCTAGGCCTCACGTAGGTAAAGAGACCCGTGCAAAATTGAAGGAGCTAGGCTGGGACACGGCTCCACATCCACCCTATTCACCTGATATTGCCCCTCAGATTACCACTTGTTTCATCCCTCAGGCTTATCTAGCAAAAAAACGATTCGTCAACTATGACCATCTCGAACAAGTAGTCGGTGACTCTTTGACTCCCAATCTCCCCAGTTCTGGGAGAAAGGAATCGCTGACCTGCCCGTTAGGTGGGACAATGTTATGACTAACGATGGTTATTATATTGTTGATTAGCTTGCATTGTTTGCTGAGTTGTAAAATAAAACAGAAAAAAAATCTCAACCCTATAAAACTTTGTTGACAATCTAATATAAAACGGGAAAAACCGCCGAAAGTCAACAACACAGGAACTTTTCACTGCTCCGAAAAATCTCTTTTCAAAGCGAAATACAGGAGTTTTTTTTCCTATCTCTACAGCAAACAGCAAAACACGAACCTCCCTCGAGAACTACCGCAACAGAACGTGCACAGCTCGACCCCCTCCAGAGCTTGTCACAGTTTTCCATGTAGCAGTGAACTGACTTTGAAATAAAAATACAAAAAGTTGAATATTTGATTCACCTCTACATCTCCAGCCACACCAAGCGTACGTTCCAACTTTCCTCTTGCAAACTGCGCCGTTGCTTGCCATTCCACCATTCTTGCAACAAAGATGAACTTTGCAAAATCCTAAACACTCATTTCAAGTCAGCTGAGCAGAGATCTGGGAGCCACAAGGCAACGTGCGACAACTTATTTCTCAAAAGCAAGCTTCTCTTCAAAGCTCATCTGCCTAGCAAAAAAGAAGAAGAGTGGTAGACATATAAACTCCCTACCTGCGGCCTTTCGAAGAACCCTGAGGGCAGCTGATCAGCAGGTATCATCATACGCGGCATTCGAGAATCAGTAGGCGAAAAGAGCGCCCAGTTGCGATTACCATCTGTCATCACCTTCAGTTGACCCATTGCTGCTCGACAATTCTTCATTTCCATAATGTACATAACCTAAAACCTTCCAGAGTGGAGCTTCGAAGGAGCTAAAGATGGTGATACTAGGGTGCCTATTTTCCAAAGCGAAAAACAACAACCGCAACACATCCATAGTTTGAACTAGCCTGAAGGCCTACTCCAAATTGCAGACTTCACGTTTAAAACAGCATGATTAGTTAACGTCGAGAAGTTGCTGCTCCCTGATTTATTCGATAAAAGTAGAGTGAAATCGAGTTACCTCTGCAGTCTTCTGTAGACACACATCTGGCACTCCCCAGTCTTCATCGGGCATTTCTGATAGCGTTCGATACGCAGCCCTCTTTCCACTTGACACAATCTGCGTCCGTTTCGGTACACCAGGAAGTTTCCTTGCCAACTGGGCACTCGTCGAAGCACCAAAGTCACCCATACGTCCAATCGATAGAGAATCGATAGTTTTCTGGAAAAGTTAGCTCGTACCACAACAGTACATTTAATAACAATACTGCCTACCTGGACATCTGGAGGAGGGAGGCTAGGATGAATGATAGGTACGGTGGAAGCACCTTGTGCTGACAGGGATTCCCTGCGAGCGATCTCGTGCTGAATGAGAAAGGTTACAAATACTATCCAACAGCAGTAAGGCAGCGTTCAGACTTGTAGCGCGACGTCGCGCTACAGCTGTAGCGCTACAGTTGCACACAACATAGTTCTGTATTTTATAACTTTTTCGACGTCGCGTCGTTTTTCACATTCAATCTTCACAAAACGAATATAGTCCATGCATTTACACACTAGCACACTAAGCCCCGCCCCTCTGACCACGCCCACTTTCGTTTTTCGCGGAATTTTGATTTTTCTTCCGAATTTTCACTTTTTTAGGCTGTGACAAGCGGCCCCGCCCACTAATGGAAGCTCCGCCCACTTTTCAAAATGATGCAGATCGGCGAGCTAGTGACCGTACTAGCAGGTTATGACCTCTCCCGTCACATAGAATGAAAAAAAGGGAAAGACCAGAAAAAAGGAAAATTTTGTTCCGGGTGACGGGAGAGGCCATAACCTGCTAGTACGGTCACTAGCTCGCCGATCTGCATCATTTTCGAAAAGTGGGCGAAGCTTATACAAAGTGGGCGAGCTTATACAAAGTGGGCGGAGCTTCCATAAGTGGGCGGAGCCGCTTGCCGCGGCCTAAAGGAGTGAAAATTCGGAAGAATAATCAAAATTCCGCGAAAAACGAAAGTGGGCGTGGTCAGAGGGGCGGGGCTTAGTGTGCTAGTGTGTAAATGCATGGCTATATTCGTTTTGTGAAGAATGTGAAAAAACGACGTCGAAAAAAGTTATAAAAATTCAGAACTATGTTGTGTACAATTGTAGCGCTACGCAATTCTGAACGCTGCCTAAGCACACCTTTCACTAAATTGATCAAACACTCGAAAACGTGAGACTTTTGGGCGTCAATTCAAAACTAGCAAGGTTAATGGGTATGTTCACTGCATCCTATGAGAGCGTTCACGGGTATGTGGCAAGAAAATCGTAATCCACCGCGCTGGTGGGCATCGCGTGCGACGTCGCGCCCGCCCGGTGCTCCAGTTGACACGGTTAACACGAGTTAAGAAAACGCCGCGCCCATCGCCGCGTGCTGCGAGCGGCGAATTACGATTCTCTTGCCCGTCTCTCAGCATTCACACCCCCATTGGATCTTTTTCTCAGGAAATCGAGTCAACAGAAAATAAGAATTATTTCCATGGATTGATTTCATACGCCCACAGATTTCGAACGAAAACCTCCCTACTCAAACTACTCAGTCTGCTTGTAGTGTAGGTAACGGGAAAGGGCGTGAGGCGAGACTAGGCCGCGCACACTATACTCGCAAGCGGTCTCCAAAATCAAGTTTTCGGGTCAATATCACAATGAGAGGCCGCAGACGGGCACAAAGAAAGCACAGCTGAGTGATCACCACTCCCAATGAAAATAGCGCCGTCATTCGACTACCAGTTGCCCAAGATGCCCAGTCAATCACCAGTGAAAGACTACAGCTCCTGTCACTACAGAACAACGGTGAACACCATTTAGCTCGAAAAAATCCGGAAGACTTTGGCCCACTTAGGTTCATGATAACCCTTGTAAACATCTTGCCCCTCAACTAATTCACCTTCGCAGTGCACTAAGGCAGCGTTCAGACTTCGACGCGCTATCACTAGAGCTATACTTACGTCAACGCGCTACCAATGCTACCGCGGGAGTGGAACCCAGCCGAAGACGGATATTGATCGGTGCCTGTCGTTTGGGTTTTGAGCGAGCATGAGCCGATCAATATCCGTGTGCGGCTCGTACTTCCCTACAGCACCGAAACACTACGTCGTGGTAGCGCGTCGACACGCGTCACCGACAAGTTTGAACGCTCTCAATCGGTAAAAAATGGACCGCTGCTACTTCGACTGAAGTGATCGAACATTTCTGAGATCAGTCAATGAACTTTCTCCACATTACATACCTGAGCTCCAATGATGACCATCGCTTGTCGGCTGTATTTTCGATCTTTATTCGGAGGGATGGTGAGATTCAGATTCGCTTTCCTTATATGAGGATCAGCCAATCCTCCAATAGAGACCTTAAAAAGTTGAATAAGAGAAGTTTAATACATACGTGGGGGGGGAGCCAACGAAAAAAAGTCGCTTTTTTTCTGACTTCGATGGACTATAAGTCTACAAAAACTTCCTTAAATTTTCTTGATCGAGAAATTCCCCACAACTATCTTAAATGAGTATATACCATGTGACACTCCGCCAGCCTTCTGGTACAGCTTCATCGCTAGAGATTGGCCACTCGAATGCATTGTAATTCCTAGATCAGCGAGAATGGATCGATTTCTCCGCCACTGTAGGCACCCTATTAACTCGCTCGTACCGGGTGATGAGGATTTAGTCGTCGTGACCAATTGGATATTGTACTCCTTTAATATGGATATCAAGGCCCATATTACGTTTCCTTTAGGTACTCAAGCCCTTCCTTTCCAAGTAGCGAGAGTTTTCCAAATGCCCAATTCATGTGTCCACCAATGCTGTGGCAGTACAATTCCAAGTTACGGCGACAAATGTGGGAGATTATTCTTCTCAGTTGGTCGTCGTGTAAATCGCCAGCGCTCAGTTTAGCCTGTCCACTAAGAAATATTAGGTTTTTATATTCCTAGGTCGCTCCGTCCATACCATCCTAAACCCGCGCCTTGGACGACTGCGTAAAGATAATGTCCTAGCACCGTAAGCGAGTGTCGAGTCTCTCGATGTGAGTCTTCCAGATTGAGAGACTGTATCCAGTAAGCTAGCTTACCCTAATGGTTGACTCCATTACGGAGAAGTGCCGCAGCTGCTTGGAGGTGACATGAATTCAAAGGTCTTCTCCAGTCAGGCTGCGACTGGAGATGACTTCATATTTTGGTGTACATGAAGGTGATGGGCGAGAGCCAGCTCCTGCTTATAGAGGAACATCTTGGGTATCTTCCGCCCTGGTACTCGTATCCACGTCCTCTGTCTGGGCTGCGAAAACTTTGCTGATATGTGACTCGGTCGAAGTGACTTTTTTTGCCCCCCCCCCTGTATGTAAGCACTAAGGCAGCGTTCAGACTTCGCGACGGCAGCGCTTCGGTCGCGCGTTCGACGCGATCAATGCAGTCGAAAGCATGCGCATCGATCGCGTCAAATGCGCGACTGAAGCGCTGCCGTCGCGAAGTCTGAACGCTGCCTAATACGATTAAATTAGGGAAGCTTGCTGGTGATAATATTAAAGCTGTCCCCAACTGGTAGGATGGCTGCGACAGGTAGTCGTATTTACCAACAAGCCGTGTGCCTCGAACTGTGAATTGCCCATATTCAGTTTGGAGACTTAGAGGCTCATTTCATGGTTACCTGATATTAATGCAGGAATTCTACACTTGCGCAAGGTAGCCGGCTGCGCGGATGCAGAGGCAGAGGCACGCCAGCAGTACGTGATTTGATGCTGCCACGCCTCCTTAGGGCAATCCACGCCCAATGCAAATGGCGCAATGAGGGTGGCGGTATCGTCTGTATGCTCGCCCTTGTCACCTAGTTTCTCTCCCTGTGCGCTCCTCGTTTTGTCGCTGTATGCCTATGCAAAGCACGAAATCAACTGCTCAGGTGAGTATCTTATAAAGAGAACCCTCATCGAATTTTCTTTGCCTCTTTTCTCCAGGGGGTGAGCCACTTAGCACCAGCACCTTTTCGTTTGAACGACATCTACTCGGTAAATGTGCCTTCGAAGTAATACTGATCTCTAGAGCTCTGTAAAAGCTGCAACGCTATTCACTCACCTCAACGAGATCATCGGATTTCGGTGCTGCCACCGGCGGAATTGTTATCGGCTGACCATTATCCTCGCGGGAGACGTTCAGATGACCAGCGCGCCATGCCTGGTAGAGGTTCTCGCGGATCTTAACAGGCCCAAATCAGAAATCATTTTGTAAAATTTACGCATTAAGTAACCCACCACCCAGTTCATGCGCTCTTTAATGCGCACAATCACCACATCGCCATGCAATGCTCGATTACGGTCGTGAACTCCAAGAATCAGAAGGTCCAGTTGATCATCGCCATCAGGATTGTCTACGTACGATTCTTCATAATTACGTTGGTTCACACATAGTGATCCCTGAACAGATTTAGCAATCGAAGCGGGTGAGCGAATGGAAAAATTCCTTTCTACCCATTTCTATACATCCTTCTAGATTCCGATGTCAACTTACCTGCTCTCCCTCCCCCTGCGAAGGGATTGTGCAGTCCTGCAGATGTTGGGCGGATCAGGGGAGCCCGTTCTCTAGCAGTATTAGAGGCTGGTAAGCGAA